TTTAGGATTCCGAGTAAACAGAGTTCAGTCCAGTCGTAATAAGATGTGTGTGACTAACCCAGGGGTTAAAGTCTTTGATGAGAAAGAGGAAATGACAAAGTTGTCAATATGTAACAGCACGAACAAAGGTAAGAGATTGATACAGCTGATCACATGAACCAGAAAGGAATAGTGAGAGAAAATGTAATAATCTGAAAATGGTCAATTTCAAAGGGAAGATCCATCAGTTGCTCTAACACATACCTGACACTCCCTTGTTACCTCTCTTGCAAAAATGAGCTCCCAATTTTTACTCCTATATCCCAATAAAATAAGTGCTTTGAGATCCTTTTTGTTGCCTCCTAAAGACTGGTCTGGCAGGGAAGCAACAGTGAAAAAATGTTGGGAACCATCCTGCCTGGTTTCAGGGACTGCAGCTTTGCTGACAGTTTGGGGCGACAGGGCCCCAAGCCTGGAGCAAGGAGGCCTTGGGAAAATAGGCCACTGAGGAGACAAAACCTATCCTCCCTCACATGACCCTGGTTGGCCCCGCAGGATGGCTGGTTAGTCAATGATGGGTAAGACACCTCGGTGGCAGGGGCAACCTAACACAGGCACAGTCACATAGGGGCCATCAGGGAAGGACTTGGGGGACATGGAGAAGGGGCAAAAGACCCTCACCCCTCGGCTTTGCCATGGTTCGATCCTCATCCTATTTGAGAAAAGTCTCCTTATCTCTTGGCTGCTCTGTTCCACCTGCCTGACAGGGTCAGTGAAACAATACTAGAGCAGGTACAGCCCTAAACTGGATCAGGCGGTTCCGGGGGCGGAGGAGGGGGAAGCGATTAGACCTGGAAAAGGAATGCATTAAATCCTATGAAACCTGTTTTTCTAAGAATGCCCTCAAGTTAATGAGTACTGATGTTTGGGGTCGGAGCATAGGATGAGATTAGTTTCCCTGGTTTCAAGGCCAAATCGGACGCCACCCTGTCTACCAGACTCTGACTTGAGGCAAATCTCTGTGTTCCTTCAATTGTTATCTATGATCTCTATCTGTTTTCTGAAAACATAGTCTTTAGGCATTGACTGATAAGCTTTGCATGCATGCTGTATACCCCTGTGCTTGTCCTTCTCAATAAAAACCACTTCAAGAGAAGGGCTCAAGGCATTCTCCACTAGAGGGAATTGCCACCCCCTTTTCCTGGCAGACTGAGAGTGTCTGGAATGACTTATTTCCTCATCTGTGGTGGCTGGGGGGACTCTGTGGGACAGGGTGCCCCCCTCATCTGGCACCCAAACAGGGACCCTACAAAAAAACTTAAAGGTTAGCAGGTGAAGGAACAGAAACACTGGGGTACAATTTTTGCTTCATTATATTCATATATTTCAGTTGCCTATTGGAATCTCCAGCTGAAGGTATCAGAGACTTTTTAAGTGCAATATGTCCAACGCAGAACTTAATTTCCTTCTTATGCATCATACCATCTCTCCTATCTAAACTTTTGCCTGCCTGTTCTCTCAGACAAAGATATCACTAGCTCTTTGGCACAACTCCATTCATAGTTTTCCTTAGTCCATCCAACCGACTTTATGTCCGGTGCTACTCCTCTGCTTTGGGCTCTCATCATCTCTTACCTAGATTATTATAACACCCTTTTAAGGCTCTCCCCAATAACCCAGGCTTTATTTAAAATTTTCATGATGAAAATTATTTATCATACATTTTTTGCATACATTTTGACTTTTTAAAAATGTTACACTAAAATTTCATTTATCTTATTTACTTAGTTTTTTCATGCCACCTTCAATTGCACATACAAACCAAGGGCTTCACTCACTTCTCCCTGGTCCTGGCCCTACTTACTACATCTGGTCTTTTCTCCCACAATTTGGTTTCAATCAGCAAGGACAATCAACTAAAATATAAATGAAATCATGCCACATTTCTGCTTAATTCTTCCATGGATTCCTCTGCTCAGGTTATTTCAACAAGAACTCAATAAGGTTAGTCTTTTCTGCTTCTTGTTTACTATTTTAGCCTCTCTTTTGAATTTCCTCCTCCTTTACTCATCATCACTGTGGCTTAAATTATGTATAAGCTCAGAGGTGGAATAAATACTATTATGTATTTATATATTATTTTATAGTTATGTCACTGAGCTTTGAAGTTCTGCAACTCCCCTCCTCTAGGTCTCTTTCAGGCTTTTCCACATGTTTGTACTGCCTGGAGGTCTGCAATCTCCTTCTGGGGTTACTTCCTATGGTAGGCTGAACAATGGCCTCCCAAAGACATCCACATTATAATCCCTGCAATCTGTTGCCTTACGTGAGGAAAAAAAGATTTTGCAGCTGTAATTAGGTTTAGAATCTTGATATGAATCATCCTGGGTGAATTTGTCCTGGATGAATGAAATGGATGGGTTTATCCTGAATTATCTGGTGGGTCCAAAGTAATCAGAAGAGGGAGGCGGGAGGGTCAGAGTGAGAGAGAAAATGTGACATGGAAGCAGAGGTTGAAGCACGCCACTGCTGGAGAAGAGGGGTCAGGAGCCACGAGAGCAGACTGTCTACAGAAGCAGAAAAAGGGTGCAGAACAGATTCTCCCCTAGAGCATCCAGAAGTTATTATAGTCCTGCTGACACCTTGATTTTGGACCTCCAGTATCAAGAACTACAAGATAATAGTTTTGTGTTTTTCTTGTTTGTAACTGAGACAAAATTGACATATAACTTTATCTTAGTTTCAGGTATACAACATAATGATTTGATATTTGTATATATTGGGAAATAATCACCATGAAAAGTCTAGTTAACATCCATCCCTACACATAGTTACAATTCTTTTTCTGGTAATGAAAATGTTTAAGATCTACTCTCTTAACAACTTTCAAATACACAATATAGTATTATCAACAATAGTCACCATGCTGTATAAATGTGTGTTGTTTTAAGGCACTAAGTTTGTGGCAATTTGTTGTAGCAGCAATAGGAAACTCTTCCTCAGGAAAGCTCTTTTCTTTTTCTTTTTTTTGTTTTTGTTTTTTGGTGGTCCCCAATAAAGCTTCCCTGAGCTAGCGGTCCCTCCCAATGTTCCCCCAACTCCCTCTCCTTGCCTCTCTCACGGCACTTGCCTTGTGAGAGCTGAACTCTACCTCTAGAATGTAAGTTCCCCTGACAGGGATTGTGTTCTTCTTGTGTATCCCCAGACCTTAACATAAGATACAGAGCCGTATTCAGATGATACTTGTTGAGTGAATGAATGAACATGACTTCTCAATCAAAGAGGGCTGAGATTATGTATTTATGTATTAAAATCACATGCAGTGGCTAGGCAAGTGAATTTGTCTCCCTGAAAAAAAAAAGTAAAAATGAAAAAGGCGTAGAATGGGCTTTTTCCTAAATGCCCCATTAACACAGAGGGAATGGTTACCTTGACAGTAATGAGATACTTTCTTTCCTCAGAGAAACAAATGAAGCAACAAAGCAAGAGAGAGTGCAACATTAAGAAAATTTGAGACTTAACAGGAGCTCCTAAGTGTTTTATATATAAGATACACACTTTGACATGATATATGTGTCAGTTACCGCAAGTTTTTATTCATGGTAATGGTGAGATGAATGTGGCTGTGCTGGGCTTGCTACTATTAAATATGACTCCAAGGTGAGTCAGGGCAACATGATACTTTATTTATTCCTGTTTTCCTTTTGTTGTAAATCTTTGTTACTCTAGTTTCATTATGTAATTTTAGTATGCGGGTTCTCAGAGGAAGTCATTATTGCAGAATCGTGAGGGGTTATACAGAGTCGCCAGAGTTTCATTCCCATCCTCCGCTTCACTGATTGTTCAGAAGTCCAGCAAGGGGCAGCTGGGCTCTCTGCGAACCGCGTCACAAGGCTGAAATCAAAGTGTCAGCTGGGCTACGTTTTTGTCCGGAAGCTCTGGGAAAATGAGGTCACCTCTGCCATTGACATTCAGTCCCAAGGATTATCAGGGCATGTACAACATATGACTGGGAAATTCGGGGGCCATTTTAGACTTCTGCATACCACATCACTAGGCATGAAAGTTTATCATAATGGGGAAAGGCAGTATATTTTGAAAACAACACAACAAATAAACAGATGAAAACCATGTAAGTTTATTTTTTTAGTACTTTCCCCCACATTCTCATAGAGAACTACTCTCTTAATGAAATTAAAGTTATTAATTAGTTTCATTCAGTGTGATTAATATGACTGATGCAATTTTTCCAACATGATTTATTTATTTATTTATTTACTTATTTATAGAGAGGGGGAAGGGAGGGAAAAAGAGAGGGAAAGAAATATTAATCCGTTGCTTCTTGCACATACCCCCAACTGGGGGGCTGAACCTGCAACCCAGGCATGTGCCCTGACCTGGAACTGAACTCGCAAACTTTTGAGTTGCAGGATTGAGTCCAACCAACTGAGCTACACTTTTCAGGGCTCCAGCATGACTCTTTACTTCTATTGGTTGTACAATTAGCCGGTGCAGGCTACACCGACTGGCCAATAAACTTAAATGACTTAATTAATCCATAAACAACAACAAAGTATTTTCTGGTGAGCTAACAATAAATATCAGGTGGTAGTTGTGTTATTATACCAGAGTTTTATAAGATGCTAGCACTGGAGGAAACTAAGTAAAGGGTTTATGGGATTTCTCTGTATATTACTTCTTACAACTACATGTGAATCTATAAATATCATGTCAAAATTAAATGGTTACTTTAAAAAATATCCATGTTTTTGGTGGCATGTTATATCCTTGTGCCACATGTGAGATACCTGAAACATAGGTGTTGGTTTTGCTCTTTCCAGGAAAAATGAGGACTGGGTGAAGGTAGAATAGAATTGGAAGCTTGAGGAGTGGTAAGAGGGTTTGGAATACTTTCAGTGAGGAATCTGGTAAGAGCTCAATGAAAAAGGCTCTTTCTTCTCAAGGAGGCGGGGGAGTGTGTTGGTTGTGGCATCCATGCAGCCTCCCCAGCAGACACAGAGATGCAGATCTTTGTGAAGACCCTGACTGGCAAGACCATTACCCTTGCGGTTAAGCCCAGTGACATCACTGAGAATGTCAAAGCTAAAATCCAAGACAAGGAAGGCATCCTGCCTGCGCAGCATCATCTTATTTTGAGGGGCAAACAGCTGGAGGATGGCGGCACTCTCTCAGACTACAACATTCGGAAAGAGTCCACCCTACGCTTGCTGCTTCATCTGTGTGGTGGCATCACTGAGGCCCCCAACCCCTGGCAGCTCGCCCAGAAGTACAACTGTGACGAGATGATCTGCTGCAAGGGTTATGCCCACCTGCAGCCCCCTCCCCACTGTCAACTGCCGCAAGGAGAATTGCGGCCACACGAGCAACCTTCGCTCCAAGAAGAAGGTTAAATAAGGCCCCTCCATCACTTCCTCTGGCCAATAGGATGGTCTTCTGCCTAATCCCTGTGACCCTGGGGCCTCAATAGTTTCCCTTTCATTGACTGGAGCAGTGAAAGAAAGAAAGAGAGAGAAAGAGAAAAAGAGAGAAAGAGAAAGAGAAAGGGAGGAGGGGAGGGAGGGAGGAAGGAGAGAAAAAGCTCTAGACAGACTCTCTCTCAGATGACTTGGCATTTTCTGGATTTTGTGGAGGGGGTAAATTGATTATTCATGTTTTGAAATTTGTGCATTGTTTAGAAGTTTAGAAATACAAAGCTTTTTCTATGTTTCCATTATATTTTTCAGAGAACCAGATATTTTAAGCAAAAATGCTGTCACCTTTATAACCACTTAATAGAGAATGATTAAAAGAAAACAAAAATATTTAAAGCCCTCAAGAAGCAAGGTACCTGTTTTTTGCTAGATACTGTTTCTGTGATTCCAGTCACCATCACCATGTGACAAGGAAGGCCATCAGCGTGTTCCTCTCTGTGGGTACGTTATACCCTGTCAAGGTAAGAAGAGAACTGAAATGAACTTTTGATTCAGTCATTTATGATTTCTACTACAAAAAAAAGTATTTTAAAATAACTACTAAATGTTACCTTATCATATAATAAAACATCTAAGTAAAAGCACTACATTCTATAGCTGATTTCAATCTCTAATTTATTTATTCTATTTGACCCTAAACAAAATTTTCCAAGAAAGTTCCAGATGTCATCAGTCAGCTATTTTTAACTTACATCTTAATTATTATAGCCTCATATGGTGTTATTCTAAGCCTGTAACAATTGAGGTCATTGACTAAGGTGTACTCATTCTGCTAATCCCTATTTCTTTTTCACAAATAACTAACCTTCGAGGAATATCTCAAACCATCATTTCTATTTCTGAGTCAGAAAATCAAAGACTGAAGAAAATTGTGGATGGCATGGACTATAAGGAACATTAGACGTCGAGATGGGCAATGTAATAGTCTCTTTTATCTGGAAAGAAATGGATTTGATATATTGTCATTAGACGTTCAAGATGCCCTAAAGCTTGAATAATTTGATTCTCAACACATTTAGTTTGTTTGTATGTCAGGAAAATCTTTGTATGCATGTAACACTTTAATTAAAGGAAGTCCAGATTTCAAACCTAAATAATAAATACATAAATACATAAATAAATAATTTGATGTTATTTTATGCTTCAAGGTCATTTTGCAAGGAAATAGGTGATTAGGTCATGACAATGGGTCCTAATCACAGGTGTACTTGTTAAACTTTGAAAACAACTAAGGGAAGAAATTCACCAGCAGATAGCTTTTATACTGTTGGAATGCTGCCTGAGACTCCCACATCAGAGCCAATTTATCATACCATAGGGCAGCAGGCCATGCAGAGGGCCTCTCTGAGCCCCCTAGTTGACAGCCAGCATTCCAACCTAGCCAACCATGTATGCAGCTAAATGAGAGGGCCCCACAAAATTGGCAGAAGAGCCATTCAACTAGTCTACAGAACTGTTGAGGATAATAAATTCTTGTTAAGTCACTATATTTTGAGGTGGTCAAAACAGATTGGAATAATTGAGAAAGAGACTTCATGGGACTCAACATATACAAAACTCAACTCATTTTCTTAACTCTTAGACTTCACTTTTTATAGTAATAGTACTACCCTTTCTCTTCTACTGTTTTGAACAGAGGCATTTTTTTTCATTTTCTTTATTTCCCTCTCCCTGATATTGAGTGTCTCTGAATCCTCATGTAAATGTCATTGTAGAAACCATGGCTCTAATTTTACTCCTTTCCACCAAAAAGTTCTTAAATGGCTTCCTTTGCCTACATAATAATGTTCTTATTCCTTAGTCTTATTTAATGAATCACCTTTTTTGCAATTTTGGTTGCAATGTATATTTCCAGGCCTAACCTATCTTTTTTTCGAGCTATCACTTTACTCCAAAAACCCCAACTTCCGCCAAATCAGCTTAGTCATTGTTTCTAGACTGTGCCATAAGCATGCCTTGTTTAATAATTTTGCTCTTCATTTTTAAAAAATTTGGTCTCAAAAGAATTCCCACTATCTAGATCTTTCTCATTCAAAAACACTCAATACAAATTCAACCTTCTACTAGAGGCTTCTTCCATAATTGTTTCTAGATTTTTTTGAACTCTTGTTATTTTGTCCAAATAATTCAGTTAACACCCACTATTTATTCACTTATTATAGTTATTTTTTATGTATTCATGTTTTATCCACACACCTAAATTGCAACATTCTACGTCCATACCTGTGTAGAGCAAGAAAAGAGCGGACTTTTTGGACACCTTTGACAATCCAGTATGGAGTCACTGTCAGCCATGACAGTTATGTCAAGCGCTATGGTCAAGACCGAGGTAAGGGAGTGTAACAGGAACAGCCTTATGAGGGGCCTGGAGTGCTGCAAACCACGTCTGCCCACTTAGATAAGGTCTCCATCAGGACACTGATGTGAATAGGACCTTCACCCCTGGTGGGCTCTAAGAACTCAGAGCTCCGACCACCCAATGCTCGAGTTTGGCTGTACCACAAGTCATGCTCAGAGCCCTGGTGGACTTCCACTCCACTGGACATGTGCCTCCACTGCAGAGGCCTGGCTTGAGACTGATGCCCTCTTCTTCACCTGTGGACACCAGCAGTGACCAGGACCCAATGCTCACTTTACTGGCTTCAGTGGTATATGCTCGCCTCTCTGTGTGTAAACTGTATGTAACTCTTTTGGCTTGTTAAGGAAGCCTCTCCTAATAAACCTGGCATTGTGGAAAGACGCTAACTTGTTCCCTTGTTTATCAACAATATCTTATACCTTGTGTAAACATAAACTGTTATCAGTAAACATCACTTGATGTTGAAGGTGGCAGTAAGATTTGGGTAGGTGGAGAGAGAAGAGGCAATCTAGAGGGATGAGAACAACTGAGGAAATGTATGGTTTGTTCCAGAGAGGGGGAAGATAATATCAAATAAGTCAAATTATTACCTAACAACAACAATAGCAGCAGCACTCAGCTATCTTTCTTTTCCTCACTTTTCTTCAAGGCACAATGATACTCATTTTTGCCTGAGTACTTTTATATTTGTGGGAAATATGATCACTGAAATAGAATTTTAGTATTACTTTGTTGTTTGCAAGAACCAAGCTTCAGGAAGGAAAGAGGGGGAGTGTTCACTAACCATAGGAAGTTACCACCATACCCCAGTGCCTTAACATATAAAATTAGAGGATCTATTTTATAACGGAGTTCTACCCCTCTCCTCACTTGCCTTGTGGTTAGCAAGGAAGGAAATGCATCATAACACTGAGCAGGATGGGGGAAGAGAGATCCTTGTAGTCAAAAGTTTAGAAGAGGTCTTTGAAAGGGGTACTGTTTACTTACATCTGAAGAGCTCACACAGTTGGTCAATTGAAACACTGAGGAATTACCATTTATGAGTTAACTTAACTTTCCTCAACAACAGACAAAGTGCTGTCTTCATCCAACAAATTCATTTATTCAGCAAATACTCTGAGTGCCCACTCCAAGATGGGCATTTTTCTAGGGGAAACATGCCTTACAATAAATAATAAACAGGAATTACATGCACAAGTGTTGGGAAAAAAGTAGGAAAAATATATACCAAGAGAAAACTGACCAAAAGAAAGCTCATCTACCTATACTAGTAGAGAAACCAATGAATGTATAATATAAATGAAATATACTTTACAGCAAAAATATTACTAACAATTCACTTCATAATGTTGAAATGTTCAATTCATCAGGAAGATGTCATGATTTTATTTCTGTATGCTTTGATTAACAGTCTCAAAATATATATAAAGCAAAAAAAAATTGACAGAACTATGATGAAAAATAAATCCATAATCATAGTAGATTATTATGGAAAAGCTATTTTTTTTTTACCATTCCTTTCTTCGCTACATCTTTGCATTGCTCATTCCCTTCCTTTTGTAATTTTTTCAAAGCTTCTTTTTTTTTAAAAATTTTTTTTAGAGAGAGAGGTAAGGGGAGAAAGCGAGAGAAGCACCACTTTGTGTTCCACTTATTTATGCATTCATTGGTTTCTTCTTGTATGTGCCCTGACCAGGGATTGAACCTGCAACTTTGCTGTATCAGGACAACACTTCAGACAACTGAACTACCTGACCAAGGCTCATTCCCTTCCTTTTTTTCAGATATCACCCCAGAGAATTATTTTCAAGTTATTTCATTTAAAATAGTGTCTTATCATTCCTTATAATATATATATGCTGTACCCAACATTATACTATTCATTTACTTGTTTATTAATTTCTCCCCTACTAAAAGTATTCCAGGAGGCCAAAGGTATCACCTTTCTCATTCGCCAAGAAATCTATGGTTACCTGAACAGTTTCTGAATGAATGAATAACTAAATAACAGTTAACAATTGTTAGATACTTCTCTGCACAGTAATCCCCCCTTATTTGGGGGGATATGTTTTAAGACCCCCAGTAAATGCCTGAAACCATGGATAGTAACAACCCCATATACATTGTTTTTTCCTATAGCTACACACCTACAATAAAGTTTAACTAATGAATTAAGCGTGGCAAGAAATCAACAACAATAATTAACAGAAACAATTATATTTCAATAAAAGTTATGTGAATGTGGTTTCTTTTTCTCTCTCTCAAAATATCTTATTGTACTCTACTGCCCTTCTTGGGATGATGTGAGATAACAATGCCTATGTGATAAAATAAAGCAAGGTGGATGCTGTAAGCATTATGACATAGTATGAGGCTACTGTAAGAGTTACTGGAATACAAGCACTGCAATATCTGACAGTCTGACAAGCAAGATGGCTATTAAATGACTAACAGTCAGGTAGAGTACAGAGCGTGGATATGCTAAACAAAAGGATGATTCATATTCCTAGAAGGAAGAAGTGGAACAGTGTGAGATTTTTATCATGCTTATAATAACACT